ATTGCCGCAGTGACTGAGAGACCCGTCTTCTCTCCTGCCACTGCTGGACATCTGTGCCCAGTGCCCAGCTCACCAGCGGCTCTGATGAGTTAGGAGTAAGTCATGAAAGATGAGAATTTCAGTTTGAGACCAGTTTACCAGAAGATGAGTAGCAAAGTTACTCAGTGAATGTACGTTGAACATTTATGGAGATTCCAAGTGTGAGAGCAGACTTCCGCCAGGCTCAGCATTGCGCTTTTCTTAATTTTTTTAGTGAAAAACATTTATTCTGAGAATCTAAAATCTAAACAGAGAACGTTGAACTTCAAAAAAAGCCTACACAGAATTTCGTTATTTCTTCCCTAATACACTAACAATCTAAAAAAAATCTTTTAAAATAATATTATTCCAGTCTGTCTCCAGTTATGTGATTTAAAACATCCTTGGGTCTACTGAGGTATAAGCTGCAAAGTTTTTAAAGTTAGAAAAATGAACAAGTCCTTTGAAAACACCGCTGTTTTCTGTGAGAAGTGAGCCTTGGGGTCTATGTGCCATAATTAACATTGTTTTGAAGACTGACGCCAAGAATGGTGTCAGAAATAGTTGATTTTTGGGAAAACTGGCTATCTGTGTGAGCCTGGACTTGTAGACCCACGTCCTCTCACCATGTGTTAAACTAAAATCAAAATGGATCAAAGAACAAAATATTTAAATTGAAGCATTTAACCTGTTGGAAGACAAAAATAGGTAGAACTCTTGAATTCTTAGGTAAGACAAGGACTTTCTGAACAGAATCTCAGTTGCACAGAAAACAGTACTAAGAAAATGGGATCATATCAAACTAAAAACACCAACAGAGTGAAAAGACAACCTATAGAATGGGAAAAAATTTTGCCAGATATTCCTCAGAGGACTAATATCTAGACTATATAAAGCACCCAAAAAATTAGATCAACCAAAATAAAAGACTCAATAAAAAATGGGCAAGTAAAATACATACCTCACAGAAGTACAAATGGCTAATAAATTTATGCAGAGACCAGGTGTGGTGCGGTAATCCCAGCACTGGGAAGGATGAGGCAGGAGGAGCGCTGCAAGAGTTAAAGGCCAACCTGAACTGTATGGCAAGACCCTGTCTCAGCAAAACCAAACCAAAACAAAGTAAAACAGGAAAAGAAATGTCCCACACTGTTGTCTCTTAGGGAAATATAAATTAAAACACTGAGATCTCAAGTTACCCCAGAAATAATGGGGGAGGGTTTACATTGTCAGTGGGCAGGTAAGCTAGTATAGCCACTATGAAAGCCAATATGAAATACGAAAATCCCGTAAAAAATTAAAACTGGAAATTCCAGCTATTCCTCTTCTTAGGTATCTTTAAAGACTTAATATTACAGTAGTGCACGCATACCCATTTTTACAGCAAGATAATTCATAATAGCTGAATCTTGGATGCAACTTGTATGTCCAACAACAGATAAATGGCTCAAGAAAAAGTATTTATATACATTGGAGTACTAGTCTGCCATAAAGGAAGACAAACTTGAATCATTTGTAGAAAAATGGATACACTTTCAGTCCACAGTGTTAAATGAAGTAAATTAAACACACAAGCTTAAATATTGTATGGTTTCTTGCATATGAGGATTATAAAGAGCACAATTAAAAATAATGGGAAGGAGGGAGACCTTTTTCAGTTTGGAAGGGAATCAGATAGATGGAGATGGAAAGGGAGTAGAGGTAATGGGAATGAAAAAAAGGAATTAAGATGTGTTCTTAACATATACCAGCTCCACACAAGGAATGTAAAAATGTATTGCAAACATGTCCTAATAAATTTTAGGGGGGGGGATGCAAGAGCTAAACTCATGAAAAAAGAAATAGTTGGCTTTAAAAAAAGTAAACATTTTTTCTGTATGATGTGATTTTGAAACTTTAATCATAATGCCAAAATTGGAGATAATCTTATTTTTCATCTACTAGTATATGGTGTAGCAATTTGTAATGGCAAACTCAGCATTGAAAGGAATGGACCACTAACATGGAAAAATCACTTTATGCTAAATATTAAAAGTCAGATAAGTAGCAACACATTTGGTTCAAGTTTGTGGTACCACAAGTGAAGCTCCAGCAGGAAAAGAAGGAATCCCCATTCTAGATTGGCCATTTGATGACAGAGCACCATCCCCTATCATATAGTAGTAAGTGATGGCTGAACTGTTGAAAACCAGATGTTGCAGGATTGTGAAAGGCATTGTATTGGTTGCACTTACTTTAACTGAATGTGGAGTGCAGTTAAGTTCATAAGGCAAAAAGAAGGTTTGCATTCAATTCTAGACAGCTACTTTATCTGGAGAAATACCAACCTGAGATGAGATTATGTGTCAGAGATACCATTGGGCATTGCTGTATTCAGTAGAAAGAATATAAACAAGAGGCCAGGCATGGTGGTGCATGCCTGTAATCTCAGCATTTTGGAGGCTGAGGCAAGAGGATTGCTACAAGTTTGAGCCTGTCTGGGCTACATAGTGAGTTCAAGGTTAGCCTAAACTACATAGCAACACCTTGTCTCAAAGAAGAATTCAATGAAGAATAATTTTGCTTCTAGTTTTGGAGTTTTAGTTTCTGCCAGGATTGAATTATTTTAAAATCTCCTGTCTTTTTATTTTTGAGGATAGCCTCTAAAGAAAATCAGCAGAATATTAACCTGTGCTAAACCATCTGTTTTGGGGGCATACTCTTTATGCTTGGCACATAGATCTCCTGCAGTTGGGCATTTTTTTAGGGAAGAAAAGGATATGTTTTCTCTCTCCTTTTGCTTGTCTCCTCCTTCCCCAATATACATTGTAGATTAGATAGAAACCTCATTGCTAAATATTTGTGTACAGTCTGATAGCTTTAAGCTCCCCTGTGAACTTTTAGGAAAAAATACCTCTCACAGGTACATGATGATTTTATATATCTATGTATGTAGTTATCTAATGATTTTATATACACATATTTAATGATCCAGGTAGTTTTTAGTCTTTACTAATAATGGGGTGTTTGTATTAGGTTTTTTCCCTCAAAATCCTGATTTAACATTAGGCAAAATAGCCAAGAACCTTTAAGTAAATTAGTGAGGAAATTGCATTTGAATATAAGTTTTTTGCCTCAAAGAACTTAGCTGTGAGTTCTTTTTTCCCAACTAGGGAAGCAAAGTGGGTATTACAAAAGCTTGTTTCCTGAACACTCTGACTCTAGACCATCACTAAAGATATATCCAAGAAGAGAATTAGCACACTTTCTAAAAACTATAAAATTGTTTGTATCAGTTCTGTATCAGAACTCTTGATTTTAGGATCTGGGCATGGTGGCACATGCGTATAATTTTAGCACTTGGGAGGCTGAGGCAGAAGGATCATTTCAAGGTCAAGACCAGCCTAGTCCACAAAGTGAACGAAAAGCCAGCCTGAACTGCCTAGCCAGACCCTATCTCAAGACTGGAAAAAAAACAAAAAACAAAACTTTGATTCTCTGATGATGTCAGAGAATGCTGATAGTTTAAAAAAATTTTAGAAAATACTTTTTTTTTTTTTTGTTCCAGGGATCAAACTCACAACCTCGCGCTTGCCTGGCAGGTGCTTGTGCCGCTGAGCTAAATCCCCAGCCCTTAGAACATACTTATATTTTGAATTTTCAGAACTAATCAGAAGAACAACAGCAAATGCACAATATTTTGGTTTTGGGAAATGCCCATGTTATTTTTCAAACTGTACTGTGTGTGTACAGTTTAACTACTAATTGCCTTGTTACTTGTTTACCAGGTTCTTTTTTGAGATTAAGAAAAATCAGTAGCAGTGACTACTGTGTGTATGCCCACAGACTATACAGGGTAGAAGAGAGACATCAAGTAGCCCAGTGAAGAGCAAAGGGACTGTGTTACCTGTGAAATGAAATAGTAGCATTTTTGCAGATTCAGTGTGCTGATATAGAGAAGCTGTTTATCTTCTCATTTCCAGAGGGTAGTTATACACCAGACAATATTGATGGAGCAAGTGGAAGGATACTGTCAGGGCTCTTATACTCTTACTGTTGCATTCTTAACAGTAGCCTACTTCTAAGTCTTTGAATACAGACTTAGAGTGATCTTGTCCTCTGGAAGTCACTGTGCAGAGCCATACGTGTCCATTTTGTGAGCATCGGCTGGGTCAGTGGGCGTGGACTGGGACCTCATCTCACACAAATGATACTTTAGTGTAGTCTGGCTATCTGTTTCCTATTGCCAGAGTTGCTTGACTTTAATTAAATGCAAACCTATAGATTATCTTCTCACTCACCCCAGGAAATAAAACAATATAATGCTTTTTGACATTGTTTCTAGAAATTTGAAGTAAAAAATGATACTACAATTCAAAATTCTTTTATTTCTGAAATGAAATGGCAATGACTTTTATTAAAATGATAATAGATTAAAAATTTTATTAAATTTTTATTAAAATGACAATGACAACATGGATTTAAGATCAAACCATCAATACCCTCTGGAGGTTCATATATACTATTGGACTCCAAGGATTTTTGTCAGCGCTGTCACAAAGCTTTTCTGTTTGATGAGTTTTGTGGTGTGGAGGAATTTTTACATTTGTGTGTGTGTGGGTACATGTGGGTGTACATGTGTCCTTACTGTTCCATCAGTATTAGTGCCTACCTGAGTTAGGAGAATTACATTCTGGGTTCCTTGTAAGGAGAAGGATGTATAAAGTGACATGAAACATTAGCCCTCATTTTATCTTAAATTACAGACTAATATTAATTGTTCTCAGAAATAGATTTTCCCCCCTCAAATTAAAATAATTTTTTTCTTTTGGGTTTAATGAAGTATTGCTAGCTGAAGTCAGTTTGAGATGTTGAAAAATGTCAGATTGCTAAAAGGTGTGCAGCCTGATTTATATGAAACCCTGCACTCTTAAAGAACAATAAAACATATTTCGCATGCAAAAAAATTGATGAGTGTGTTATTTTTGGTGGTGTCTCCACAGGTTGATATGTCAGAACTCTCACCAGAAGAGCAGTGGAGGTAAGTGTGGCAGTGTGGGCCCCATAAGCTGGAAACTCAGGTTATCTCAGCTGAGTTTTTTTCTTCCTTGTCTGTGGGATGCAATGACGTACAACTGGACAGGTCTTTTGGAATCAGTCCAAATATCTGGGTCATTCTTGGGTCACTCCCTTTGTGTTAGGGAATAAACAGGTATTGTCATGCCACTATCCATCTGGGTTTGAATACCATCTCTGCAATTAACTTTGTGATCTCTGGCATGTTACTTCTCACTGCCTACATTTACTCCATTTGTAAAGTAAGGATCATAACAGTATCTGTACCTTATAGAGCTATAAGGATTAATGTATGTGGAAGTCTTAGAACAGTGCCTGGCGCGTGGTGAGCTTCTAATCTAGTAAGTGTTGCTTTTTTTGAAGGTGATTATCATCATTAATGTTGTTGTCATTATCTGTGATACAGCATGGAGAGCTCTGGTTGGAAAAATGGGAGACATTCCTTCTGATTTCACCTCTGCTACTAACTTACTTTAGGAAAAAAATCAACAAATATATTCTTTTTTTTTTTTTTTTTTTTGTCTTTTCCTTTTTTTATCGGTACCAAGGATCGAACTCACAACCACACACTTGCAAGGCAGGTGCTTATGCCGCTGAGCTAAATCCCCAACCCCAGCACATATATTCTTTTCATGATTTCTTACCAGTTAAAAGAGTTTAAGAGTATGTCGCTCACAGATTTCATAAAAGGTGGCTGACCAATGAGCTGAAATCAACCAAATAAGCTGTAATAATGAGAAAACTTAATATAGATTAAAATTATCAATTATTAAAATATAGATTGACTAAAATACCAATTCATATGACAAACCCAGCATATTTTAGTTGACTTTAATTTCTAAATGTACCAGTTTTATCCCTCAACTACCAGTATGGTTTTTGGTTTTTTTTTTTTTTTTTTTTTTTTTTTTTTTTTTGGTCTTTTTCCTTTTTATCGGTACCAGGGATCGAACTCACGACTGCCTGCTTGCAAGGCAGGTGCTTATGCCGCTGAGCTAAATCCCCAGCCCCTACCAGTATGGTTTTAATAATTTAGAAGATGTTCCCAGAAAGCTGCTCTTTTAAGGAAAATGACACTACCAGGATGCTATGCTTTGCTGAGGACACATTTGTTTTGTTCTACACACTGCTTAGTATGATCTGTAACTGGGTCATCTAAGAGAAGGCAGGCAGCTTTAAGTCTTCACATCAGTGTTAACACGAATACTGGTTGAAAGATTAGACGTGTTAACCTAAAGGTAACAGAAAGATGGAGTTAGGAACTGGAGAGGGTTTTGTTATTGTTTTGCTGATTTAATAAGGTCATGATAAATTTTTTCAGGGTTGGCATTGGGCAAGATAAGTAGCTGTGTCCTTTGTTTTTTCCAGGGTAGAGGATTAGGTACAATGGTTGAAGATGTAATAAGGTAGACATTTTTGACTCATTATCAGAAGTATTTTTATTTTATTTATTTATTTTAATTTTATGGAAAAAAATAAAGCAAAATTTCACAACAATAATAGAAGAATAACAGTAGTTGATACATTGCAGAAGTATTTTTAATCAAGATACGTTGAGAGGTAGTGAGCTTTCTGTCCCTAAAAAATGAGAAATAATTTTTGCATTGAGTGGGAATTTGAACTGAATGATTTCTCTGGTCTTTTCTACATCCTTTGAGTTCCTGTTATATATACCCATTTAGTTATGTATTACTAGAATAAGAAGCTTATCTCTTGCTTTTTTTTTTTCCTTCAGAAATAGAGTCTCGCTATTTAGTCCAGGCTGACCTTGACCTTGAACTCTCAGTCATCCTCCTGCCTTGGCTTTCCAAGTGCTGGCATTACAGACATGCACCACTGCACCCAGTTTCTTGCTATCCTTATAACTCCCTACAATCTTTAGGTTCCTTCCCTTCCCTTCTTTGTTTTTCTCTTCCCTTCTGTGTAGTACTACTGATTAAATTCAGTACCACTGATTAATTTCATGTATGTAAGAGCTACATCCCTAACATTTTTGTTTTATTTTGAGACTCACTAAGTTTTCCAGGCTGTACTCAAACTTGTGATCCTCCTGTCTCAGCCTCCAAGTAGCTGGGATTATAGAAATGTACCTTCACATCCAGTTTTAAGGCTTTCTTAAGTATCTGGTATTCTTTTAGCTTAACCTACCCTTACACCAACCATGTGAGGCAGGAAGAACAGACACATACTCCTTTTGATACGTGAATAAATTATGGTGGAAGGATGTAAGGTTTCTTGGCCAAGGCCTGATAGGTGAACCTGAGCCTAAGTTTCTGGCTCCTGATTCTATTTTTTGTCCACTCAAAGTGGACAAAAAATGTGTAAGATGAACTCTTAGATGCTTAGGCTAACTGGTGTTTGGCTGTTTACTTTGCTCACCAAATTTCTCTCCTAGCATTGTATTATGTAAAATTTTATTTGTATACAAAATTAAGAGAATTATATATTGATACGTTTCTACCTACCACCTACATTCTACTATTAACATTTTTCTGTATTTGCTTTATCATTTCTCTACTCATAATTTATTCCTCTGGAAATGAATTATTTTTGTTGCCCTTAGAAATTCCATGAAGACATCATTTATGTTGTCTTTTTCCTATTACTCTGGTGCAGTGGTGCCGAATATTTGGCACGCATACCACAGTAGGCTGTTTTTTATTGTTGAAAGGTCTAAAAGGTTTGCTCACTGCTCTAATATATGAATAATTTGTATAAAAGCTCCTGACTGCAGGCTGCACTTAGATTCAGTTTTCTCTCTAACTTCTTCCTTGTTCTTCACCTTGTTGCTCACTGACCCAGAGAGGTAGGATGATTGCTTTTGGAGGAAGATTTTGGCTGTATTGACCAAGTGAATCACTAGCTGCCAGTCTTTAAGACCTTAAGACCTTAGATTTATAAAAAACTTTTGGGTGCATTGCATAATTACTGAACTTTCTTGAGTCCTTGAGGAAACTGTGGTATTTATTTATACATGCTGATGAAGTCACTGTTGTATTAGAATATAGTTGAAGCAGTCTAGATTTTAACCATTTTTAAGATCTCTCTGGCAGAAGGTAGGATGAATAGAGTAAAAATTTTACTCTGGACTCAGCACACATTTGCACTGTTACCCATTATTGGTGTCATAAATTTTGTAGACTCTATAGGTTTATGGCAATAAGCTCTCTGATTACTTTCTTTTTCCAGTGACAGGTTGAAATAGGACTAAAATGGGCAAGAGAATAGATTTTTCCTTCTTGCTGCAAGAAGGGCATTAGAAGGTTCTGTCATGAAAGACAAGCAATAGACTACCCACGTCTAATCCGCATAGGGGAGTTTTGTTGCTGGGTCCATAGAACCTCTATTCTGTCTCCAAATGCTGGTCATGTAGGGCATGTGTCCCTCTAGCCTCTAATTTGCATGGATGGTACCGTTCAGTTTTGAAGCACAGGAGCATATTTTGAGCTACAGATTGGTAGGATATTCCTGGGAACTATTTCCCCTTTATCATCACACCATCCCTGACCTGGCTTACCTCTTCTGTTTGGCTTTCAGGGTTGAACATGCGCGCATGCATGCCAAACATCGTGGCCATGAAGCCATGCATGCTGAAATGGTCCTCATCCTCATCGCGACCTTGGTGGTAGCTCAGCTGCTCTTGGTGCAGTGGAAGCAAAGGCATCCCCGCTCCTACAATGTAAGCCTCTTTGCCTCTCACTTCTTTGTCAGTTATCAAGAGACCCAGAATATTCCAGGGCCCAGCCTAATGTGGACTACCTATAGGCAGAGAAAATAGCCTGAACTTTTCATGTGGTATGGTGAATAGCGGGATGCGTGTTCACATGTATGTTTGTGTGTCTTGTCTGTCTGTCTTAATGGTGAATTATGAGTAGATGAAACTAAAGATAGAACATGAGATTATATTCATAGCCAGAAACAAAGGTGCTCCCATTTAAAAATCATGGAACAGATTCATGAAGTAGATATTCATCAGAAACTATTCATTTAGATGGGAAAGATCACTTGATTAGGAAAACCAAACTTGTAAGTAGCCTTATAAGTAAGATGTAGATCCCACTAATCTGTATTACTGCAACAACCAAACCAGTAAAGTTGTAATAGGAGAGATGAAAAAACAATATTTCATGCAAATGACAACCAAGAAAAAGGTAGAGTGCATATTGACCTAAATTTGAAAAAGTTATGAGTCAAAGTATAGTATACATTAATTAAAATTCAATACACCAAGAAGATGTAACAGTTATATATGTGATTAACAGAGACCCAAATCATGTGAAGTAAATTTTATAAAATCAAAAGTAAAAGTAGTCCTATAAATAATAGTTGGAAATTTTGGTACCTCACTTTCAGTAATGGGTAGTCAACAAGACAAAAGTTTGTTAAAGTAGTAGAGGACTTGAACAATACTGAACAACCAGATGGAAGATTGTTAAAGTAGTAGAGGACTTGGACAGTACTGCAAACCAAGTAGGTTTTACAGATATACAAAGAACACTTTACCTAACAACAGCAGAATATATATTCTTCCCAAGTATACATGGGGCATTCTGTAGGATACATTGTATATTGGGCCACAAAAACCTCAATAAATTTAAAAAGAATCAAATCGTATTTACTCTGTTTTAGGACAAGGTAAGCAGGGTACTAGTTTTCTTTAAAACTATTATCTTATAAGCTTTTAGCCTTTTCAAGAATAACAATACTTTTTTTTTTTGTCTTTTTCCTTTTTATCGGTACCAAGGATCGAACTCACGACTGCCTGCTTGCAAGGCAGGCGCTTAGGCCGCTGAGCTAAATCCCCCAGTCCTTCAAGAATAACAATATTTCTAAAACATAAAAGCACAATAGACACCCACAAAATAATAGTTGTACTTAGCAAGAATAACAGATATGTGTTTCTAAGCACAGCCAGGGAATCTTGCCTCTGACTGCTATGTCTGAACTATGAAGGTGGTGACAGGGATGCATTTTAGTAACATTACTTAACATTTATTTGGTTCTTAATGCTTTTTTAAATGTATTTTTTATTTTATTTCATTTTTAAGATTTTTTTTTTATTTTAAAGAATAAAACCAAACAAAACAGAATAAAGCCAATCAAAACAAGATAGTGAAAATTATACAGGTGAAAGTGATACAAGACTTCAAAAGAAGGTAATAGGAAATCAATAATGGCTACCATATTATATATTGTTATTTTCAAAATAGCTGCCCATATCATCAGGTCATAGTAAAGTCAAACAGGACAGAATAAAACTTATCAAAATAAAACAATGAAAGTGATGCAGGACTTCAAAACAAGATAATAGGAAATCAACAATGGCTACCATAATATATCTTATCTTTAAAATAGCTGCCCAGGCCATCAGATATCCTAAAATCAAACAAAACAATGAAATTAATATAAGACTTTAAAACAAGATAATAGGAAATTAACAGTGGCTACCACCTTCAGAGGGGAATCCCCCATAGTTGCTATATTGCATATTGTTATGCTCTAAATAGATGCCCAGACTACTGGCTTTAGGCCTGCAAAGTCATTCAGACAATGTAGGCATTAAGTTGGTTTTTTTTTTTTTCTTTTTTTCTACTTTACTGGCTATCATCTCAGCCTGTGTTTTTCTGAATCAGCTGGTTGCTTGGTGGGCAGGGGCTGCTTGGCACTTCTTGTCTACAGTCCCGCAAACTGGCTGGCTCATGGGAAGGGGTTGGTCTGGCCTGCTACCGCTTCTACCTCACAGGAAGGGGTTGACTTGGCTCACAACCGCCCAGGCTCACAGGAAGGGGTTAGCCTCTTCTTGGTTCTCTTTTTGGGACTGGTTCTTAATATTTTAAGCACTTCAATATATAGACTCAATTGAACCTCAGTGCACGATTTTGTTTTCGCCAATTACAGATGAGAAACAGACATAGAAAGGCTAAGTAATTTGTGCAAGTGATAAAACTGCTATTTGAACTCAGATAATTTTACTCCATGGCTTTCAGTCTTAATCCCTAAATGATCATGTTTATCTACTATATGCTTATTTAGGCCTCTTATGATTTGGTCAGCTTTGCCAAGGGGCCTATAAACTGCGTGATGGCATCTAATGTATACTGTACTCTTCTAAACTATTTAATAGCTTGTGACAGTGATGGCAAACTTTTTAGTTTTCAGTAATGCAAACAACCTGCTATGGCATGCATGACATAGGTTTGTCACCACTGATATATGAAGTAAATACAATATTAAATGAAGACACTGAGGCCCAGAGGATTGAGGCATGAGTTGAGACCAGTACCTCAATTCTCATAGCCTGAGTGTTGGCCATACCAACAAGTTAGACTAAGATTTCAACCCATGTCTTATGTTTTATATGTTAGATTTTTTTTTTCTTTTTCGTTTTTATTGGTACCTGGGATGGAACTCACGACTGCCTGCTTGCAAGGCAGGCACTTATGCCGCTGAGCTAAATCCCCAGCCCCTATATGTTAGATTTTGAATTGTGCTGTATGTTGTCTCTGAAAATGGTTTGTCATCAAGGGAACCCAGAGAGCATAGGAGGAAGAGAAGCTAATCTTTGTCCTTGGGCTGGGACAAATTCCAGACAACATTGGCTTATAGTATTGGCATGTGGTACAAGTAGGGACATCTAGCTGGATGTGGTGGCAAATGCCTGTAATCCCATCATTTGGGGTTGAGGCAGGAGGATCACTCAAGTTTGAGGCTAGCCTTGGCTACATGGTGAGTTCAAGGCCAGCCTGAACTGTGTAGGGAGATCCTGTCTCAAAAAAAAGGACATTTATACCTTCAGGTCACAGTGTATGGAATGCCCATGTGACACCAAAGCCAATTGTTTAAAACCAATAACCATCTAGAAGCCTAAGCCATCTGGTTTAGGGCCTCATTTCTTTCCTCGTGAGGTATTTGTTTCTCAGTGTGTGATTCTTGTGCCTACTTTACTAAATGGGGATGGCCAACATGACTTAATTGAGCCTGGAAAAATAAGAAAACTCAAGCCACATATAGAATGAGAACTGCTGGGCTGGGGATTTAGCTCAGTGGTGTAAGCACCTGCCTGGCAAGCACAAGATTGAGAGTTCAATCCCTGGTACCAAAAGAAAGTAGAACTCCCTTCTCCCTTCAGTTCTTTCTTCATTTTTTTCACCTTTTTTTAGAGGTAGTGTTTTTTGTTTTTTTGGTACCAGGGAACCAACTCATGACCTCACACTTGCCAGGCAGGCACTTGTGCCACTGAGCTAAATTCCTGGTCCTCGAGGTAGTTTTCTATTTTTAAGTTTGTTAAGTGTGAAAAGGCAGCATAGCTGGGCGTGGTGGCTCATGCCTGTAAACCCAGCACTCGGGAGGCTGAAGCAGGAGGGTTGTTGCGAGTTCGAGACCAGCCTAGGCTACAAAGTGAGCTCAAGGCCAGTCTGAACAGCAGAGAGACCCTGTCTCAAAAAAGAAAAGAAAAGGCAGCGTAACACAAGTTGTCCCAATTTCATCTCTTCCTGTTGCTTTTGTGTTCCCATAACCTTGGTCACACATAACCACCCTTCCACATATTTTTAAAAGATTTTCATGAGTACATGTACATAGTACATAATGTTTACCTTCCTTATGTGGAGTTGGTATGTGTATGTAACACATCTTAATTGATTTTTTTATTCCCTTTCCTGCTCCTTTTTTTTTTTTTTTTTTTGGTGCTGGGAATCACACTCAGGACCTTGCGCTTGTCAGGTAGGCACTATACCATTGAGCTATATCCCTGGCTCCTTAACATCGTTTCAATGTGCATCCATTTTCCTACAACTTTTATTTATGATACGGTAGTACTCCATTGTATATAAATAATCACATTTTCTTTATCTGTTCATCTGTTGATAGACCTATATGCATTTCTATGCTTGTATTTGTTTTATTTAATTTTGAGACAGTATCTCACTATGTAGCCCAGGCTGACCTCGAACTCAAGGCAATCCTCCTCCCTCAGCCAATGCTGGGATTATAGACATGCACCACCATGCCAGGCGTATGCTTGTATTTAGAAACATTTTTAATTATATACTGTTCATTAATCTACAAAGAGTTTTACAAACCTACTCTGAAGAAAGTGAGTATGCATATAGGTATGCAGTGGTTTTTATTAACTACTTTTTTAAGCTTTAAAATCTTTTCTTTAGGCTGGTCCGAAGGTAGTGAGTTATCTTAATTGATTGTTCACAGTCAGTACAGAGTGAACTCCTTGTTCTACTCTTTCCCCCCTTCTCACTACTGCACTTGACTAGTCTTAAAAAAAAAAATTTTAAAAATCTTTTCTTTAAACAGAATCTTAAGGAATTACTCCCCAGTATGGAAAGCAGTTAAGGGCTGTTCTACTTGTTACAAGGTTGAAGGTAACCCTATTTCCTTTGCTTCCTCCTCAGGAATCTTTGTAGGACTTGATAGAAGACTGTTAGGAAACCACTGATATTTGCTAGTTAATCCTGAAGTGAAAGTGTGAACGGGAGTTAATGAGGCAGCGGTACAGGAACATGCACTGTCATGTCACTGCTTACTGTACCCTGTAAACATGCTGAACTTGACTGGCAAGAAGATACGCTAACTATAGAATACCAAGTGCTAACTGTGGAAGAAAAATTGCCCAAGAGCCTGTATATAATTGCATCACCTAGCCTTTTTCAAACTTATTAGAAG